CTATAACTATAATATTAATTATATAATATATATAGTTATATAAGTACTTTATATAATTAGTAATTTAGTAGGTTATATTTTAGATTATCTTTCCCCTTATTTTTCCCTACTAGAGGAAATAACCTGCTAATTATATAAGTAATAATAACTAGAATTATTATAATATATTAATTCCCTTATTATTATCTATATAATTAAATACCTATAAATATTTAGGATTATTACCTTTTATTATAATATAAGCTTATTTATAACTTTATACTATATAGGTATATATACTACGCCCCTAAATATACTTATACTTATACTAATAAGTTATAAACTTAGCTTAGAGATAACCTTTATTCCTTCTATTTCTTTACTTCTCCCCTACTTATTTATAAAGCCCTACCTCTATTTAAGGGTTATATATACTAAAAATTAATCCTTTAAATACTTTTCTATCTATACTACTTATATAGAAGTTAATATACTAACTAGATTAGTAGTTTAGTTCTATAAAATATACCTCTTATAAATCTATATAACTAATCTTATATAAATTAACTATACCTCTATTAATCTTTCTTTAAATAGATAGTCTCTTATTACTACTTTATTTAATTTATATTCTTTAGATTATTTCTTTAAATTATCCTCTAGTTTATTCTTAATTTAATTTAGACTTATACTTATAATATAATAGATTTTTTCTTAACTAATCTACTATATAGGATATATATCTCTTTAGTTTAATAGAAGTTTAGTTAAAAAAGATATTAATTAAAGAGAAGGAATAAAAACTACTCTTTTTATTAATTAAACCTTAACCCTCTAAGTTTATAACTATTATAATTTTACTATAAGAACTACTATACTATATATCTAATAGCTTTTTAGTTATATAACTTTATTATTATTTAACTTTTATAAAGTTTATAACTATATATTATATAGTAATAAGGTAATAATAATTAATCCTAAAGTTTAATTCCCTAAGTTTATAAGTTTTAAGAACTATAAAGTATAGGTTATATATATAAAAGCTCTACTATATAGTAAAGATATTACTATAGACCTTACTAAGCTTATATTTAAAGATAATTTAGATAAAAACTATAAGGTTTTAAGTTATATATAGTTATTCTATAATAATAGTCTACTTAGGGTTATAAAAGATAATAAAGATACTTATATAGCTTAGAATTATCTAAAGTCCCTATATAAACCTATAGGTTTTATAAATAAGTTTTTAACCTATAAAGAGTTCTTTAATACCTCTTTAGATAATTTTAAATCTATAGAAGATTATATAAATAAAATAAAAGAACTTATAGATAATTTATCTTATAATAAGCTTAAACTATTAGATTAAGTAGTTATTACTTATATACTTAATAATCTAAATAAGATTTATAAAGCTTTTATAACCTCTATAACTTAGTCTCTTAAGATTAACCTTTCTACTTATAACTTAGACTCTTTATATATTAATCTTATAGATAAATATAAGAGAAAAGGAAATAAAGAAGTAATTAATAATACTACTACTAAGGGTAATAAAAATAAAAAATAAAATAAAAACTAAGAAAATAATAAAAAGAAAGATAAAAATAAAATAAGTAAAAAACCTTAGAAAAAATAGAAAGGTTTATACTATAAAAATTATAAGAAAATAAACTATACTAAAGAAAATTACACTTTTCTATATCCTAAAAAAGTACTTAGTTAGTAGAAAAAGCCCTCTACTACTAGTACTAAAGATAAAGAAAAAGAAGTAGTTAATATAACTACTATAAATAATATTACCNACCCCCTATATATCTATTAATAATCCTAAAAATCCTATAGATTTAATAGATTTATCTTCTGATAAAGAAGAAGAAGATATTCTCTTTAAGAATATAAGCTATACTACTCCTAATAATATAAATAATAATACTAATAATCCTTTCTTAAGTTATTTAATTAACTAATCTTTTATTAAAGGGCCTCTAGCTGTTTATAGTGATTTTTACCTGCTTAGAGCGATAGACCCTCCTAACTCTACGCCTCCTAATAATATATATAGCCTTTAGTTATATAATCCCTAATAACCTCTTAAGTCTCTAACTATATCCCTCTCCTAACTATAGCTGCACTTATATATATATATTAATAACCTCACAATCTTTAACTTCACTTTAATAATAATATAGTTTATAATTACTTAATTACTTAATTACTATAGATTACTGAACTATTAACCTATCCTCTCTCTCGCGTATCACCTGC